GGTGAGGTCTTAGCCTCAGAAAGAAGAGCTATTGATGGAGACAAATGTCCTGAAAACTCTGATGTTTTCATGAAATAACACCTGAAACATACTGACTTAAGGTACCAAGCCCAGTTGGCTTTGATGTCTCATTGACAGCGCCAGCAACATCTTCACCGCAAGACCTGGGCCCTTTTCAGCATTGTGCATTCCAATTTTATTGACACAGAGACACGCTGATGGCTATGTACCCTGTGTAGGGTCTTCTTTGAAAATACAGTTTACCTACCTTGGGTGTTGATTATGTGCATTTAACATGAGCCTTTTCCCCCCATTCCATGTATATGAGGGAGTCTTCCAAAAACTCATGAAAAAGCGTATTATAACAAAACTGCATGGATTGCAAACTTTTTTTTTAACTAAAACTTATCTTTCCATTCCATTTCTCCACAAACTTTTTATAGTACCTGCATATAAAATTATTCCATTGTTTGTTGGGATGAGAATACATTGAATGTTTCTTGGTCTTCCTATTAGAGAATTGCAAAGATAAAACTTGACCTTTTCTGTATGCTTTCAAGTTTTTATATGCTTTTGTTACACAGCATGAAAATAAATATGAAATTAACTTTAACCTTAAGTTTATTTAATGAAACTAAGTCTCAAAAAAGCAGCACCAGGATTTCAAAAAATAAAAGCTCCTGCCGGATGAATGGTAAATGTCATCCAAGGTATAGATATTTATTAGAAATGTTAGTCATTTTTAAGCACTCAAATTATTAAACTTAATTTTACCACATGAATACCATAATTATTTTCTATTTATCAATTTTTTCATGTATTCACTTGTTTGATCAATCAATTTATTATTGATTTACATATTGCTACTACTTAATCATGGATAAGGCATTGCTACGGTGGGAATGTATGTGTGCACCCAAATCCTAACCCCAGAGATGATGGTATTAGCACATGGGCCCTTCTGAGAGGTGATTAAGTCATGAGGGAAGAACCCTCCTAAATTGGATTTTTTTTTTTTTGACAGGCAGAGTGGACAGTGAGAGAGAGAGACAGAGAGAAAGGTCTTCCTTTTTGCCATTGGTTCACCCTCCAATGGCCACGGCTGCACTCCCGGGCCATGGCAGAGAGCTGGCCTGGAAGAGGGGCAACCGGGACAGAATCCGGAGCCCCAACCAGGACTAGAACCCGGTGTGCCGGCGCCGCAAGGCAGAGGATTAGCCTATTGAGCCACGGCGCTGGCCACTAAATTGGATTATTTAGAGGCCCCTAAGAGCTGCCTCGTGCCTTCCATGGGAAGGCATAGCTAGAAGGCACCATCCAAGAACCAGAAAATGAGCCCTCACCAGACAGTGAATCTGTCAAGGTCTCAATCTTGAACTTCCCAGCTTCTAGAACTGTGAGAAAAAAGTTTCTGTTGTTTATAAAGCATTCAGTTTATGGTATTTTATTATGGCATCCTGAATAGATGAACACAGACACACATTTCAGCAATGAAGAAATCTAAAAGTTATAACATCATATGCCTCTCCTCTGTCCTTTACATGGAATAAACTTACAGAAAACTCCTTTCTCTAGAAAATCTCAGTAGCCCTATTCATTTGGCATATCAGATACCAGAGTGGGCAGAGAGAGGTGAAGGGATTAGGACGTGTGGAGAGGAGGTTCACACTACCATAGGCAGCTAGGCTTCATTTGCTGGCTGACTTCCAGGCTAGTATTTGGTTTCACTCCACTGAAATCCTGGCACCTTTACTTAGGCCATGTAATCATTGGAGGTCATTTAAACGTATCTGAACCCAGAAGCAGATAAGATTACCATCATGAACATAGGGAGCCGGTCAGGATATTAGATGTAGGGAGAGGAAGAAAGGGCCTAATCCTATGAGCAATTAGAATAGCGGAGCCTTTCAGAGCTGTAATGCTTTTGTGACTTTCTACTCCAGGTGGTGAAGCAGGTGAGGCTCTTGGAGTGAAAGGTAGGATCACAGATGCCCTCAGACTGTTGAGTCCAGTCCTCTCAGCTTAGGGAGGAGAAATCTGTGGATGAAGTTCAGAGACTTTCTGCTAAAGCCAAATCTCACAGCTAGGGGAAAAAAAAAAAAAAAAGATTGTTGTTTTTAGCCCTTGTTTATATTCCTATGAAACTTTGGTCTATGTACTTTTTACTTCTTGAATATTATGGTTAGTGGTGTACTAAGGTTGTGATTATAGAGTGGAATGAAATTACGTTTTTGCAAAAAATATAGGGAAGAAAGGAAGGAAGAAGGGGGGTTGAGGGAGGGAGATAGGAGGGAAGGAAGTATGGTTATCTTCTTAGGATTGTACCTATAAAATACATGAAATCTGTTCTCTTTATATTAATAAAAATATATGAAAAAAAAAAACAAAATTCGAATCTCAATCAGCTGAGTTGTAACCGACTGGTTTTCCTTTTGGTAACTCACTCTTCAATTCAGCATGCTCCAGCCATCATCATGAACTTTCTGTAATCCCATCTATTATTTTGTTCATTCAGTCGTTTTAGCAAAAATCTGAAGCCCACTGCATGCCAGGAGCACAAGGTGAACAAGGTACATCAAGTCCCTGTTCCAAAGAAACCTCTATTGCCTTCACACCCTCCATGTTGCAATATAATAGTTCCTTTCTCCATGAGACATGCATTACTTTCAGAGGTAAAACATCCTTGTTAACACTGACATGAGAAAATACCCCAAACACAACAGAACGAGGCACAGCCTATAGCTGACTTTGTGTCTAAAGACAGTGAACTGGGATCGAATTGAGATCAAGAAGCTTTGATTTTCAAGTCACAATAAGAATGGACTTGCAGGTGTCCCTAGACTTGTAGTAGGAAGTAGTAATTCTTATAACTATAGATCTTCCTTGCCCCAGAAGTTGCCTGTTTAAATAAAATCTTTATAAAAGATGTACTCACTATTACTCCAAATTATTTCATTAAAAAAACCTCCCTCTATTGGGCATCTAAGAAGGTTATATACAAGAAGTTATGGCTCTAGAAACAATGAAGTTATGTAACCACAAGAAAAAAAAATCCTCACAGTTTAAAAAGGTTTTCTGTTTTTCTTTCTTACAGGAGACCTAATCTGGCCTAAGCCTAAGAAGATTTGTCTCAAATTGGCAACACAAGCTTAAATAGTTTATTCTTTTAAGAAGTGATTTAACCATTTGTATCCCTCATTGGTGTTTGAGTTCTTTTCCCCATTGGTTATCATTGTGATCATTGTAACATCTCAGAATCTGTTGGCATCATTGCTTTCCCAATGTTCCCATTGTTGTTTTCGAATAGGAATAAAGGAAAAGCAACCAGCAATGTTAGAAATAACTTCATGAGAATAAGGGAACCCAAACTTATGAGTCCTCATTACCCTTGGAAATACAAATCTTTGTTCCTGGTGTTGAATGTAGATTTCTATGGTAACCCATCTCATAAAGTGGGTTCACGATGTTTTGATGGAAGCATTGTCAGTGAACAAGACTCTTCAAAGGCACAGAGAAAGCCATCATGGTTCTTTAGCATACTTTGGAGCTCAGGTTGGGCACATGTTTTTCTCAATCACTGGGGATCCTTCAGGAATATAGAATAAAGCATAATGAGACAAAATAAGGTCTTAAAAGATAAGCCTAGTTGTGAACAAAAAAGCAAACATAGCCAACATTCCATATCGTCTACTTGCTGCCCAAGGTGGGGACAGGTTGAGTGGGGCATGGAGAAATGACCACTAGAGTTGTGCAGAATGACAAGTGTCTCATGGATACTTTTCTCTTCCTTTTACAGTTTTCCCTGCTTCTAGGGGAATTTTCTATAGTCCAAGGATTAGTTTGGAGATGTTCTCAAATAAATTCAGAAGTTGGGACTGAAGAGAGACATAACACTGATTCCTCAAATGGGCACTTAGGAAATACGTGCTGTTTGAGGGCCTAAGTGGTGTGTCCAAGCTTGAACGTTTCCGCTGCTCATCACTAGAGGTCTCCTGTTTTAACTAAGTCTCTCTTTATCCTTTGGCACTCACTGTATGCTAATGACATGCATGCTTGACACAAAATCTTATAAAATATTATGCTTTAGTAACTTCCTAGTTAAATTTTTATTTTGTTTTCTTTTCTGGGGCCGAGGTACAATTCTGCATTTGATTGTGAAAAGTCTGTATTTTACTAAAAAAAAAAAAAGGGCTATTTTTAACAATCAATCCATAACTTGTGTTAGTTTGTAACCATGTCCAATTTGCAGAAAGTATAGGCAGATAGTGATTCTTATAATGACATAAAAGCAAATAATAATTGTTTCCCTGAAGGTTTCTTAAGATTTGAAAATGTTTTTTAAAGATCCAAATACATATATATAACAAATAAAATACATATATGTTCCCTCTTTGAGACACATCTACTTGTAATACAGTTCCTAATATGTGTGAAGATGAATGTTTGCCTATATATATAAACAAACAAAAACCCAAGAGTCCTCTGAAAGCAGAATCCCTGCCCTCTTTCAATACATCCTTATCACATGCTCTGTCATTGAAGATACATGTGTATGTGTCTGTATAAAATCTTGGATGGTCTGCGTAAGCATAGACATTTAGGATAGCATAAGGTTTATAGGAGGGAGAGGGAGAAGAAGTGGGATTAAACAATGATATCTCTTCCAAGGGGAGGTAACCCACCACAATCTCTCCATGACTCAGGCAAATGGAAACTAGCCTTTAAAACAAGCCAGTCACTTCCAGGCTTTCCTTTGGAGTCTACTATTCACATTGAGCATTTCTAAAAGATCTGCAAGTGTGTTCTTAACTTTCCTTTTTCAAATAAACAACTCACTCTTTTAGCTATCACTCATGCACTCCATCCCTCCTAGGCAAGTCTTGGCATTTTCACACTCTGTCTCCACAGGGGCGGCAGCCAAATGTGTACCGCTACCGCAGCATAGCTGGGGGGAAAAGTAACATTTTTCCTTCCACCCCAAACAAAGGTAGGATATTTACCTTCTACTTTGAAGATAGTGAAATGCGGCCGGCAGTGGAAAGAACCCAACGCGTTACCTGCGCAGTTCATCCACAGACCTTGGTACACCCAAGTGGCAGTTATCACCGATGATGCCCGGGTGGTCACTTTCCACTCATTGGATGTGGTGGCTGCGACAAGAGCTCCAAACCCTCCGACACCAAACACCAGAGCCGAGATCTGTGCCCCAGACATGTCGCTCGGCTTTCTGGGGTGACACAGTCCAGATGGAGCGCTTAGGTGGTCTGGGCATGCAGCAGACAGGAACTTCGACAAGGATTACAGCCAGCCGTTGGGAGCAGGTGACAATATTTCATGCTCAGATGCCCGCAGGGAGCACAGGAACTTAGGACAAAGTTTGACTTTCCAGTGGCATCTTAGAGACAGCCTAATACTATCTTCCAGTTTCTTACACGGATATTTACTAAAATTTTATAGATTAATTTAAAAGGTTTTGATTTCACAGCCTTTTTTACCTAGCACCATAGTTAATGCTTAATTTTCAGTTAGCCTGAAGTTTAACGGACCATGCAACTACCAAATATTACAAAGTACAAATTACACAGTAACAGTTAGAGCTTATTTGATCAATTACCTTAGTCTCGCAGGCTTTCGAATCTGTCTCAACAGAAATGGAATCATATTGCAGGTATTCTTCTGTAACTTATTTTTTCACACAGTGTTATGTTTGTGAGATTTATCCGCATTAAGGAATGTAGCTACCTTCATCGAATATTATAGCTGAGGGGTGGGTGTTCAGGCTAGTGGTTAAGACCCCAGTTAATACATTCAAGTCTCACTTTCAGAGTGCCTGTGTTTGACATCATGGCCCTGGTTCAAATCCAGCTTCCTGCCAGTGTGGGCCCTGCGAAGCAGTGGTGATGGCTCAAGTGGTCGTGTCCCTACCACCCACATGGGAGACCTGGATTGAGTTACTTGCTCCCAGCTTTGGCCTTGGCCCAGCCTTAGCCATTGCAGACTAAGTCAATCAAAAGATGAGGGCTCTTTCTCTCTCCCTCCACCTCTCAAAACATTTTTTTAAAACTTACAATTGAATACAGTACTTCGTTAAATCCTATTTATCCATTTCTCCAGATTTGAACATGTTTCCCCTTTTCCTTCCAAACAACATTGGCAGAGCTCCTAAGCATTTCTCCTTGCACACGTGAGCAGGTTTCTCCAGTATGTATTTTAGAAGCAGAATTATTAGCTTGAAAGAAATAGCCATCTTTAACTTTACAGATAATGCTAGATTTCTTCACTAAGTAGTTACGGCAAATTAAAGTCCACTACATTGGGTGAATCCTTGTTGTTCTACTCCAGATTTATTTTTTAGGCCAGTCTGGTGAGTATCTTGGTATCCATTATGATTGCTAACTTGTATTTTCCAGTTATTAATGACGTTGAGCATCTTCCTTGTGTTTATTGGCTCATTGTGTTTTTGGTCTACAATTAAATTTACAACGTCACTCTATCTGTTGTTTGGCAATCTATAATTTCTCTTTAGTTCTATACACACGCAGGAGAGTAATCTTTAGTTGAAGATGTATGTTGCAGATCCCTTGTCCCTGTTTGTGGTTTGTCTTTACCTGATTTGATAAAGAGTCTTCATTTAAATATAGCCCAATTGATAAAGCTTTTTCTAGACAATTTGTGCTTTTGAGATTTTAAGAAATTCCCCCCTCAAAGACAATCAAAAGTATTAACTCTGTGTTAAATTTTTATGCCACTTTGATGTGTTAATTATTTCAAGCTGAAGGCTCCTGGCGAACAAGTTTTGCAGGATGGGACTTCCTTTGACCTTTGTCAGCCCAAGGACAGCTCCTCCAAAGGAAGGCAATTGTCTTGAATCCCAATCCTGGGAATCCCATCATCCAGGGAGAATTAAACTCACGTCACTGGAGACTAGAAATCAGCACCGTGCCCAGACAGGGTTAACACGGGCTGTCACCCCATGTCAATGGAGACTAGTAACCAGCACCGTGCCCAGACAGGGTTAACACGGCTGTCACCTGTTCCTCTGAGAGCCATTCATCCGTCCCCCAAATCACCTGCTTTCCCCTCCCTGTCTATGAAGAGAAAGTAGAAGATTCCAGACCTCAGTGGGTTTTGAGGTCATTCACTTTGCTTTCATGTGATGCCCTGGGATGTAACTGGTTTGGATATCTGTTTTCTGGCCAATCTGCCTACTGTCAGTTTACTTCATAGACTCAGTTATTGAACCACTCAGAGCTGACTCAGAAGTGGAACAGCCAGGGCTCGAACCTGTGCCCATGTGGTATACTGGCACTGCAAGCTGGCTTAACCCACTATGCCACAGAGCCAGCCCTTATCTTTCTGTATGTGCACTTTTCTCTTATTTTCTTCTTATTTTTTGGCCCCCAAAGAATTCTTTACTTTCTTACCAATTCGGGTAACTCACCATTTAAAAATATTTTTCAAATATCTTTTTTTAAGCAATTTTAGATGTTTTGTACTAGGAGGGTTGTGTCAGATGTCTAACCCACCCTATGTCAGAAAGGAAAGTAGCCAATGTTGTAAATGAAACAATTTTTTAAAAACTCTAAAAATTAACTAGCAAATCAGGAACTGAATTATCTCAAATAACTGAATCATCTCAAAGAAAGGAAACCCTGAAATTTTGGATTTTTGAAAATTTTTGGTGCCATGTATTCTCAATTCATATACAGCTTTCATTTTTTAAAAAAAGATTTATTTATTTGAATGGCAGAGTTATGGGGGGGAGGGGAAGGGAGGAAGGGAGAGGGAGAAGCGGAGTAGTATCTTCCATCTGCTGGTTCACTCCCTAAAAGGCCACATCTGAAGCCAGGAGCTTCATCCGGGTCTCCCACGTGGTGCAGGGGCTCAAGCACTTGGGCCATCTTCTGCTGCTTTTTCAGGCCATAACAGAGAGCTGGATTAGAAGTGGAGCAGCTCGGACTTGAACTGGTGCCCATATGGGAATCCAGTACTGCAGACGGAGGCTTAACCCGCTACACCATCGTGCGGGCCCTATAGCTTTCATTTGTAAAGTCTTTGTATATTGATGGTGGAAAGAGCTCCTTGGAGAAATACAGAGCCACCTGGTAAATCTCAGTTTTTGTACATTGTATTTTTCTTTATGACACTATGAGTTGAATTCCTGGAAAGGATATGCCTGATTCCACATCTAAGATAGAAACCCAGCAATTTAAAATAGAAAACCACCTTTTTCTCACATTATTCAACAGAGATTTTTTTACTAGATTGCTTAAAATGTAGCAGCATTAATATACGCTTGACTTGCCAATACCTTGATTGCAGGGCCCAGTTAGAGTACAGTAAAAAAGTCTTCAAAACTGGGGCTGGCACTGTGGCATAGTAGGCTAAGCCTCCACTATGGCAACAGCATCCCATATGGGTGCTGGTTCAAGTCCCGGCTGCTCCTCTTCTGTTCCAGCTCTCTGCCATGGCCTGGGAAAGCAGTAGAAAATTGCCCAACTGCTTGGCCCCTGCATCCATGTGTCAGTCATGGAAGAAACTCCTGGCTCCAGATAGACTCAGCTTGACCACTGTAGCCATTTGGGAAGTATCTATAACTCTGCCTCTCAAATAAATAAATAAATCTTTAAAAAATTATTTGAAACATCTAAAAGCTAAATAAAGACTCAATAAATTGTTCTCTTTTAAGGACTAATTGCTCTTATTTTATTAGCCAAATACTTAGATATTCTTTTTAGATATAAATACATACTAAAAGTATCCTGTTTTGTGTGAAAACTTGAGAAAGAAAGCAGAGAGAAAGACCACCTGGCTGTCTGCAAATATTTAGGGTATGGAGCTACTTCCCTAGCCTGTCTCCCTCGAGGGAAGAGAAGGAATGATTTCTTTGGAAGAATTCAGCCAGGATTTTTTGCTCACCATTCCACTGTCAAAATTGCTAAGAATTTTTGGCCGGCGCTGCGGCTCACTAGGCTAATCCTCCACCTGCGGCCCCTGCACACCGGGTTCTAGTCCTGGTTGGGGCTCCGGATTCTGTCCCGGTTGCCCCTCTTCCAGGCCAGCTCTCTGCTATGGCCCAGGAGTGCAGAGGAGGATGGCCCAAGTGCTTGGGCCCTGCACCCCATGGGAGACCAGGAGGAAGCACCTGGCTCCTGGCTTCGGATCAGCGTGGTGCGCCGGCCGCAGTGGCCATTGGAGGCTGAACCAACGGAAAAGGAAGACCTTTCTCTCTCTCTCTCTCTCTCACTGTCCACTCTGCCTGTCAAAAAAAATTTTTTTTAAATTGCTAAGAATTCTCAAACTCTAATTGTGTTTTCAATGTTTCATAAAGCACCCTGGAATTCAAAGGGCAGTGTGATGCAGTGAGGGGACTCAGTTGTAATATCACACACAAAAAAAGAAAAAATAATTATGTCTGGAAAGACAAAAACATTAGTAAAAGCCAGTTTTAGTCATAGAACACAAAATTCTAGGAAGGGCAGTGGGGTGTTTGAAGGGAAATCTTTGAAGCCCAAATTAAAAAAAAATTAAAAAGACTTATTTATTTTAAAGGCAGAGTTACAGACAGGGAGAGACAGAGAAAGAATCTTCCAATCTCTGATTCACTCCTGCAATGGCCATAGCCAGGAGCCTGGATCTGCATGTGGATCTCCCACGTGGGTGGCAGGGACCAAGTACTCAGGTCGTCTTCTGCTGCTTTTCCAGGTGCACTAGCAGGGAGCTGGATAGGAAGTGGAGCAGCCAAGACAGGAACTGGGCACCCATATGGGATGCTGGCATGGCAGGCAGTGGCTTAACCTGTTGCACCCAATAGTGTTTTTTGATATCACAAATCCCCTGCTTCCTAGATACGTGAGGATTATGACATAATGCACACAGCACAGAGGAGGAACTAAATAAATGTTGTCCGTTGTTTTTACTCCTAGAAAATGAGGAATCTCAGAATAGGTGACCCACTGCTTCAAAGGGACCAGTTGGTGCACACTGGAACACTGAAGGCGGGTGCTGAGTCTATCTCCCCAACCCGGGAGAAGTAAGTGGTCCTAAGTTGTCACCTTTTGTTGGACAGAGAAGGATGAAGGAAACAGATACAATTCCTATTTTTCACAACCCAACATAATCTCCTGGCTCAGACCCAGCTAGTGCTCTCAGTTGTACCCCTCATACTGCCACCTGCCGGCACACAGAAGCTAATTCTTGCTTTGGGAAGAGAGCTGGTTATAGTCTCTGCAATGATCAACAGTTACCAGTAGAGGGCGCGCTCCATATTACCCCCATGCCCAGTCACTGCTCAGCTCTTCCCTCCCATCAAGCTGTAGTACATTGTTCTTCCAAGCTAAGATTCCTAGATTCCTTCTTCCTTCCAATTCATTGCTTTCATTTCTTATTTTAAGAACAGTAGGTTACATTGATCATGCAATTTAGTCTGCATAGATGAAGCCACTC